CCTTGGGTGATGACCCTCGCACCCATACCGAGGCTTTGGCTTCTCCGGATGCGCCACTATGGAAACAAGCGACGGAGAAGGAACTAGCCTCGATCAAAGAGAACGACGTGTTCGAGCACGTCGACCCGCCGAAGGGTGCCTACTTGGTGGGGTGCAAATGGGTGCTTAAGAAAAAGTTGGGAGCCGATGGGAGGGTCGAACGCTACAAGGCGAGGCTTGTAGCTCAAGGATACACTCAACGGGAGGGGGAGCACTATAGCGAGACTTTCGCTCCCGTCGCTAAGGCTACAACTCTTCGGGTGTTGCTCGCGCTAGCGACATCCCTCAACATCGAGGTGGAGCAATTGGACGTTTGCACCGCCTTTCTCTACGGGCTTCTCATGGAAGAAGTCTACGTGCGGCAACCCCCGGGGTACGATGACGGTAGCGGAAGGGTGTGGAAGCTCAAGCGTACCCTCTACGGCTTGAAGCAAAGCCCACGCGGATGGTACAAGCGCATCGACGATTTTCTTCTTCAACACGGCTTCGCGCGTAGCGAGTGCGATAGCGCTTTATACGTGTTGAAGGAGGGGGAGAAGCAATTGGTGCTTTTGCTCTACGTCGATGACTTGCTCCTCTTCTCCGACTCCAAAGACCTCATTCGGGAGGTCAAGCAACGGCTAGGAGCGGAGTTTGCTATGAGGGACTTGGGGCCGGTCACGTACTATCTCGGAATGCACGTCGACCGTGACCGAGCCAACGGGACCATCCACCTCCACCAAGAGAAGTATGTGAAGGGGGTAGTGGAGAGCTTCGGCATGAGCAATAGCAAACCGGTGGGAACACCACTAGCTACGGGGTTTTCTTGCCTCACGGGAGAGGAAGAATCCGCCCTCGACGAAGCCGAAGGGAGGCGGTTTCATTCGCTAGTGGGCTCGCTCATGTATGCCGCCGTTTCTACCCGTCCCGACCTCGCATACGCCGCCGGGGTGCTTGGACGAGTCGTGAGCAACCCTCATACCGAGCATGTGCGTGCGGGAGGACGTGTTCTACGCTACCTCCAAGGCACACCTAACTTGGGGCTCGTGTATGAAGCCGGCCCGATTGAACTCAAGGGCTATACCGACTCGGACTACGCCGGAGATCCGAGCACGCGCAAGAGTACCTCCGGGTACGTCTTCACCTTGCTTGGGGCAGCCGTGAGTTGGCAAAGCAAGAAGCAACCAACCGTGGCTCTAAGCTCAACGGAAGCGGAGTATATGGCACTCACTCAAGGTGCCATGGAGGCAATATGGTTACGGCGTCTTCTAGCGGAGCTTGGGCATCCTCAACCGAACCCAACTCCTCTCTTTTGTGACAACCAAGCCGCCATAAGCCTCTCTCACAACGCTGTCCTTCATGGGCGAACCAAGCATATCGAAGTGAAGCATCACTTCATTCGTGAGGCGGTTGAGAAGGGTGAGGTCAAACTCACTTATGTGAGCACCAAAGCTCAACCGGCGGATTTCCTCACCAAACCACTCCCTAAGGACTCGTTCTGTGCATGCTGTGAGCGTGTTGGTTTGAGCACCTAGTGGCTTGGGTGCAAGGGGGAGTGTTGGAGGTTGCGTGGGGCGGTTTTGCCCCCAACCACCAAGCGGTGCTGCTTTTAGGTGCTCACCTTCGAGTGAGCTGCAGGTTTGCGTGGAGCTGAAGTTTGACTTCGGAAGACCAATCGATTCGGTGCCACATGGCAGCACCAGAAAGTTCGGGACTTGAAGGAACATTCGAATGAGTGAAATTCGAGTGTCGAATTTCACCCCTTCGAAATGTTACGAGAACATTCGCGAAGTGTAGCGATGCGATGTTACGAACGCGGTTCGATGTTGATTGCATGCTATAAAACTAGTTGCTTTGTATTGCATTCTTCATACTGAAATCGAGAATATCTTTGTATGTGATACATTCGACTACAAAATTCAGAGAGGTCTATCCTTGCTTCTAAGAGCACTAGTGATCACGTGAACGTCTATATCTCGGCGGATACTTGGGTGATTAACGTGTTTGACGGCTTGTTGGAAAGCCAACAGAGTGTTGTACTGATTAGAACAATTCCCAGTTCCTGCAAAGTAGAGGAGAGTCCTTTACAACACAGCCCACCAAGTCTATCGCACCCCTTCACTAAAACTACCCCGGAAAGTGGAGGGTAACCTAGGAAAGTAGCTCTGATACCAAGTGTTATGAGTTGTACGAAAGAAGAGTGCGCAGAATGCAATATCGCGGAAGTGATTACAACTACTGAGCAAACAACGAGGCCTAGGCATAATATAGCAGGGCTAGCTAGGCCGAGGTCGCGGAGTCGCGAGATGGTTGGGTGCAGGTTTGGGTTGGGAAACCCGAAGGCGACGCGAGAGACGTTCGGAAGGCGAGGTCGTCGGACCGAGCCTGAACTCCGAAAAGTGGGAATGTACGCGTACGGAGTGCCTCAGTAAGGAATTAGGAAAATTCCTCACAATTGTAGCCAGCTGGTTACGAGCTCGACGAAATTTCGAAGCCAACGACGAGGATTTCTGCAATCAGAATTCGGTTCATGGGCGAATCGTTTCGCTTCGCCATTCATTCGCCACCCCACAGTCCACATGGGCAGCCGAAGTGCAGCAATGGCCGCGGTGACAGAGGTGCAAGTGAGGATGCGTGAGGGTGCGCGCAGTGCGCACGGCCGGGCAGGCTTGGGGAAGGTTGAATTGAAATCTGGGTGAGGCGGAAGAGAGGGAGGGGGGGAGGGAAGGGGGAAAAGATAAAATTTCCCTCCCCCACACTAGTTCACGCATTTCACCTGCGACTCCTTTCTCCCGTCATTGGTGTGCTATGCTCCTAGGATAATTCGCCGACAGGTGAAATAGTAATTCTGCCGCAACCAGCCAGCGGAATTTCCGGCTGGAGGCTTGCCGCAGAAGTTCGTCGCGGGAGATTGGCGCAGCAGCTTAGCTGGCAGCAGCTCGCAAATACGCTGGCGGATTGCGCCGCCTAGGAGGAACGTGCTTCTTGACCACTATAGAAGTACTGTCAATGTCGAGACTCGTCTGTCAAGTAGCTGTACGAATGCGCGTTGCTGGAAGGACCGAAAATCATTATCGGCGGCGACGCAAGCGAGGAGCCACGTGATATTTCACGCCATTGCGTAGTTGGTACTAGACGCATTTGACATATGTCATAAGAAGCAATATTACCGAAACCCTAAATCAGTCCAGCTTCAGCAAAACGGCGTGCTCAGACCTGGCTTCTGATTCTTGTTCACGTTTTGTTCACTAGCGACCTCCGTTTTATCTAAATCGAGTCCAGGACATTCATAGTAAACTCTCCACCACCATACCTGTAACGTAACCGGGAGTGAATTCACATGATTTCGTAGGAGCTGGTACGGAAGGTTTTCCCTGAGGCGCTTCAAAAGGAGCTGGTGCGGAACGTTCCCAAACAAGTAGCGCGTGCGATGGAGATTCGTCGATGTCGCTCCGTTTCCCAGTCACGGGCCAGAGTGGGCTGTCTGCTTGCATTGCTTATCCTCGCCAAAAGCAGCCTCGTTTACGGGCAAGAAGGTGAGAGCTTGTCCAATACGATTGAAGAGATTTCTCGCGCCGCTGCTGTCGCAATGTTTCCCAGATTTCTTATTCGAAGCCTCGGCTCCTTTGCAGCTGACCAATCAAAGATCATCTTGGAGCCCCAGCAACCATCGCAAAATGACGCCTCGGAAGCTACGCAGCCGCCCACACCTGAAATTCCACCTGAAACTGCGCCGGATATTCCGCTACTGGACAAGCCAGTCGACAAGGTTATCCCTTCTGACGTATCTGACGTGTACATCGTCCGCCTCCGCGCCGCCCCGCCAATCGCGGGCTACACCGGCGGAATCAACGGAATTGCCGCCACGGCAGCAGAGGCTGTCAGAGACTCGGTGTCTGACGTCATCAATTCTGTGGCCGGCCAGATTCGCAGGGGGCGTCGCCGTGCGAATCGCCAAGCGACGCGAATGAACCTGGGGGCGCCAGCAGTTGCACAGTTCAAGCAGTGGCTCGATCGGCTGCAGGATGGAGTTGCGAATGACGTGCGCCTGCCGCGCGCGAATGTACTGTACAAGTGAGTTGAAACACCTAGTATTTGAAGCAAATACTGTAGATGCATTACAAAAAAACACCTAATTAGCTTTTCTATTCCCTCTTTTACCCCCAGCATGAACACTACACACTAACTCGCGACTCCAATCCCTCCACTCAGTTCTCCATATATTTTCTCCCTCGGCCAGCTCATCACGCCGTTTTTTTCTTCTGCCCGCTTTCTCCCTCGTTTTTTCAGATTCAAACAGCAATGCCTTTGTGGCGCGTTTGACACCTAAGCAGCTGCAGCAGCTGAAGCGGCACCCAGCAGTTGCAGAAGTCAAATCCAACTACCGAATCAGCAAGCTCACCACCGACTCTGCAAACTTTCTAAACCTGCCCGAGACTCTCTGGACTGCCCGGGGCCGTGAACGGGCAGGAGAAGGCGTAGTGATCGGAATAGTCGACACGGGTATTTGGCCGGAACACCCTTCATTTTCCTCGAATGTAACTCCACCTGACCTGCCATACCCTAACCCTCCATCTACCTGGAGAGGCACCTGTCAGGTGACATCTGATTTCAAGTGCAACAGAAAGGTGATTGGCGCGAAAATTTTCAACGCGGGGTTCCGGATGTGGTTCGGGGAGGCAGACACGACATCTGATTGGACATCGGCCCGGGATGCAAGCGGGCATGGCACCTGGTGTGCAGCGTGAGTGTTCGATCCACACCCCCTTGCCTCTCCCTTTCTTGCTTTCCATGGTGACTTTTGAGTCGACTCAAAAGGCACCTGGTGTGCAGCGTGAGTGATCGATACCCCCGTGCCTCTCACTTTCTTGCCTTTTACATTCCTCTACAACCCTCTGAGAGACCATCATGTGTGTAGCTCTTTCTTGCTTTTGCTTCATTAAGCTCCTCCTAGAAAGGCACATGCCGGCGCCACCACGGGCATGATCGGGCGTCCCGGCCCCCGGGCCTTCCTCTTAGTCTCAGAATACATCATGTTTTTGTCTTTCCCCCTTCAGCTCTCCCCCATAAGGCTGAAGTACCAAACGCGGCTGAACTTCTTCCCTCCCCTCTTCGTGCTCTGCGAATGATGCAGAGCGGCAGCAGGCAACAGCAACGTGCCCGTGGTGCTATCTCCCCGCAACATAAACGTCGGCAACGCCACCGGCATGGCACCCCGAGCCTTCCTCGCAGCCTACAAGGTCTTCTGGGGCAACTCCATCACAGGCGGGGGGACCACTGCCACGTATGCTGACGTGGAGGCAGCTGTCAACGCGGCTGTCGCTGACGGGGTTGACGTCATCTCGCTCTCTCTGGGCGGCGCAGACCCAAGTGCCATGTATTTCAGCGATCTGCCGTATTTATACGCGAATCTGGCCGGCATTGTGGTGGTTTATGCAGCGGGGAACTCTGGTCCGCCTCCCCTTGCCTCATCCATGTATCGAAGCATCTCCAACTTCTCGCCGTTCTACCTCACTGTTGGCGCCAGGTGGGTTTCCAGGTGCTTTTTCTGTTGGTGCCAGGTGAGCTATCAGGTGCTTTTTTGTTGGCGCCAGGTGAGTGCTCAGGGTTCTCAGGAGAGTGGCGCTATGTGTTCAATCTAGGCCATGGGTGTGTCAAGTGAAGGGAATTAGCTCTCTGTTCATTTGGGAATTCTCATAAGCGATTCCAACACACCTAATGTGTTATATTTAGGCCATGGGCGTGTGTGGAGCGAAGGGCATGGGCTATGTGTTCATTTATACCCCACCCCTGCCTGCCCCCTTTCTCCCCCTCCCCTCCTCTCCCTCCCTGCAGCACCATCGCTCGCAGCTACATCTCTTCAGCCACACTGGGCGACGGGCGAGTCGTGAAGCTCTATGGCTTTGTGGCTTCCGGTCTCAACCTCTCCTCCCCCTCTTCCCCTCCCCTTTTTCTCCCTGCAGCACAATCGCTCGCAGCTATGTATCTGCAGCCACACTGGGCGACGGGCGAGTCGTGAAGCTGTACGGGTTTGGCTCGGGGAATGTGCCGGTGCAGGGTCTGGGGCTGGTGGAGGGCGCTGCAGCGCGGGCAGCCGGGAAGACCGAGATTGAGGTGAGTGTGGGGAAGCGACTTGTGGGTTGTGAAGCTGTACGGCTTTGGCTCGGGGAACGTGCCGGTGCAGGGATTGGGCCTGGTGGAGGGTGCTGCAGCGCGGGCAGCAGGGAAGACTGCAATTGAGGTGAGTGTGGGGAAGCAACAGGCTGGCTGGCTGTCATTCAGACATGGAACGTAACTCGTGAGGCTTGACTCGTGAAGCTGCAAACCTCCCTCAGCCATTCCCAAACTCTCCCCCTTGCTCCCCCACCCTCCAAAAAGCCAGTACTGTTCCGACGACTCACTGAACGACTTTTGAGGCGCCTCAAAAGTTGCTCCCTCTCCTCTTCCCATTCTTCCTCCTCCCTGCAGGGCCAGTGCTGTTCCGACGAATCACTGGACGCCACCAAGATCGCAGGCAAGATCGCAGGCAAGATCGCAGGCAAGATCGCAGGCAAGATCGCAGGGAAGATCGCAGGGAAGATCGCAGGGAAGATCGTGCTGTGCTCGTATGGCTGGACCAGCACCAGCAGCAACCCACCCCCATCCATTCCCAATATTCCCCCCTGTTCCTCCCCGTTCTCCCACCCCTATCAGGGCCAGTACTGCTCCGAAGACTCACTTAGCGCCACCAAGATCGCAGGCAAGATCGCAGGCAAGATCGCAGCAAGATCGCAGGCAAGATCGTGCTGTGCTCGCATGGAAGGACCGGCATCAACCCGCCCCTCATCTGTTCCCCTTCCCCTCCACTTCCTCACCCACCCTCTCCCACCCTGCAGGGCCAGTACTGTGCAGAAGGCTCGCTGAATGCCGCCAAGATCGCAGGCAAGATCGTGCTGTGCTCGTATGGATGGACAGCACGGGCAGCAAGGCAGCAGAGGTTGCTAGCAAGGGCGGCAGGGCGGTGATTGTGGTGGATGTGCCAGTAGCGGCCAGACCATACCCCATCTATGAGTCAAGATTGCCAGTTATGGGCGCGGAGGCGAGCGAGACGGGTGTTTTGCGCACGTACACCCGCACCGTTGCCAGGTGAGGGGTTACCACACTCTCTGTCTGGCCGCTGAATTCAAGTAGGGAACTGGTTGGTACCGTGGTGGATGTGCCAGCAGCAGCGAGACCGTACCCAATCTATGAGTCTCGGCTGCCTGTGATGTGCCAGCAGCAGCGAGACACTCACTTTCTGTGTGTAGCAAGGGTTGTCCCTTCCCCACACGTCTTCCACACCCACAGCACGCACACATCATAACCCCAGCATGCCCACTATGTATTCTTTTTAGGGCCTCACTTGTCATACCGACCACGTCATTACTATGATGTACCAATGAGCCAAACTCCCCTGTGTACGATCAGGTCTGTTTTTCGCCTCACTATACAGCTTACAGCTTACAAGGTACAAGGTACAACAACCCTTTCTGTATGCCTGGCAGGCACTATTCTGCCACCTCACGCCTCTTACACACTGCCAGGGCTAATGCACAGCCCGTCCCGATCTCCCCCTTCCCGCTTTCCCCCACCTTTCCTCCTACCCCTTCTCCCATCCCGTCCCCCCGCCCCCTCTCTCTTCCGCTCCCTCTCCCCTCTTCCAGCGCCCTCAAAGTCGCTTATTCTCTTTTGACTCGAGTTTCCTCCCGTTCCTTAACCACTCCCCCTCTTCTCCTTATCGCTCTTCCCCCTTCCTCGCCTTCTCCCTCTCCCCTCCGCCAGCCCGACTGCATCCTTCGCCTACACCTTCAAGACAGAACCACTGAACAAGCCTTGAAAATCGCTTTTATTTCCTTCGACTCACGAGTTTCTTCCCGTCCCCTACCCATTCCCCCTCTCCCCGTCACTTCCCCACTCCGCCAGCCCGACTGCATCCTTCGCCTACACCTTCAGAACGGACGTAACCAGCGATCAAGCGCCAGATGTCGCGTATTTCTCGTCCACTGGTCCGCTCATCAACCCTCGTAATGCAACCACGCTCTCCTTCCCCACCAACGACATCTTAAAGCCCGATATAATCGGTCCCGGCGTTTCTCTATGGGCCGCTGCGCCGTCGTCGTCTCTCGCATCAGCGTCTACCCCCGCGTACGCCATGCTTAGCGGAACCTCCATGGCTACTCCGCACTTAGCGGGAATCGCGGCGCTTCTCGTCGAAAGATACCCTGCTTGGACGCCGTCGCAAGTAATGTCCGCGATTATGACTACAGCGAAAGTGACTAATAATAAAAACGGATCGATCGTTGCGGGTTTGACTGGAAACAAGGCGACGCCGTGGGATATGGGAGCGGGCCACGTCAATCCCAAGGGTCTCATGGACCCTGGGCTAACTTTTCCCGCCAACTCTGCGGATTATTACAACTTTCTTGCTGGGCAGAATTTGGTGAGCGCCAAGAGTTCCGTGCCAATCGGAACGAAGCTGTCCCCGATTCCGGCGTACAATTTGAACCGCCCGACGATTTCGGTCTCGCGGCTGAAAAAACCGTGCTGGTGTCGCGAACGGTGCAGAACGTCGCGAAAACAGTATCCAGCTACACTTCGACAGTCGTTACACCGCCTGGTGTTACTACAGCTGTAACTCCAAAGAAATTTACAATCCCTCCCATGGGGACTGTAACGTTCACTGCCCGTTTCACTGTCGCAATGGCATCTCCTGACTTCCAATTCGGAAGCCTGACATGGAAGGACCAGTTTGGCCATGTGGTGCGGTCGGTGCTGGCGGTGCAACCTCTTTCCAAATAAGGCTAAAGGATGGACTCAGGCACCTCAAGAGGACTCTGATGCCTTCCTTCCTACCGTTGGGTCTGTCTACCCTCCGGAGCTATGCCCAGGTGGGATCCTAGTACGGTACGGGATTACCAATAAAGGGAATTGCTCCCTGCCCCGTGCAATGATTTGTTAATAATTGGTGCTCCTGCCATCCATCCATGTCATGACATGGCCGAGCTTGTTGTTTGCATAAACGTGTTGTATCGTGCGTGCATATTTGGCTTCTTATAATGGAGTTCAAAGCAAGTGAAATTCACAGGCAAGTACTTGGTGTCGACCACTCACAACGCTGCCATGTCGTGTGTGCCACGACTGATGTTTCCTTCTGGTTTCTTTGTGTGGTGGCGTCCTTAAAGTCTGATTGGACAGCCTCACATACGCTACTCCACTGAAGGAGGCTGGAAACTCTGTAAACAGCTGAAAAATCGGCATGAGCAGTTGCGGAAGGAGGATGAATCAGCGTAGGTACAGAAAAAAGACAAAAACAAAATCATCAGCTTATACCCAACTCAGGGTAAATTGGGTGACTACTAGTAACACACGTTTCCTGTACAGCAGCATGTATCCATCCAACAGTTTCAGCAATCATGTGCGTAAAACTACCTTAACTCTGGGAAGAAATAATGCTACAAGTGAGCATGGCATGTGGATGAGTCCAGAGACCTGCCAATGCAATAATCGCAAGGGAAGCATGCACATACGGTAGGAGCGTGAGCAACCTCCATGAGCATGTATCCATCCAACAGTTCGAGCAAGCATGCGCGTATAACTACCATCACTCTGGGAAGAAATCATGCTACAAGTGAGCATGGCATGTGGATGAGTCCAGAGACCTGCCATGCCAATGCAATAAGCACAAGGGAAGCATGCACATACGGTAGGAGCAAGAGGAACCTCCATGAGCATGACACAACCGCAACCGGAAAGCGGGGAACGAGGGAAAGCGGCAAATTTGCAATTCAACTATACAACCCTAAACCACCTGGCTTATCATGAACCACACTCTCTGTTGGACAACCAAGCGGGGAAAGAAGGAAAGACACGAAGCACCTTCCTCGCCATGGCACACGGCAGCAACTCCCAGGCGGCTAAATTGAGTCAGCAGTCACTCGGCTATTCACTCAGCCAAACAAGAGCCAGATTTGAAGTACTCTCAGAAAACCATACTCACTCTGCTTGAACAACCAAGGCAGAAGCACCACCCCCTCCAATGCACACAGCAGCCACTCCGGGGCATTTGAGGCGCCTATAAAAACCATTGCACACAGCAGCAACTCCGAAAAGTCCCACAAACCATACCCACTCAGCTTGGACAACCAGGGTGGAAGCGCCCACCACCCTTCCACAGCAGCCACTCCCAGGCGACTTAACATAAGCAGCATAACATAAGTCAGCAACATGACTCAGCTAAACACGAATCACTTATGAGTATTTTTCACAAACCACCACTCACTCGGCTTGGACGACCACAGCGGATGCACCCCCACCGCCATTGCACACAGCAGCCACCCCCACCCGCCCCTCATGCTTCCTCAGCACGCCCAGCAGCGAGACGACAATGCGAGCCCCACTGCTCCCCAGGGGATGCCCCAGTGCCACCGCCCCCCCATGCACGTTCAAGCGCTCCTCGGGAATGCCCAGCAGCTTCTGATTCGCCAGAGCCACAACCTGGAGGGGCGGATGGGGGTTCGGGGCAGGTGAGGAGGGTGAAGTGCGGTGGAGTGTGGTGAAGAGGGATTCAACGGACATCCCAGGGGATGCCCCAGCGCCACCGCCCCCTCGGGGATACCCAGCAGCTTCTGATTCGCCAGAGCAACCACCTGGTGGGCGGGGGTAGGGGGTGGGTGGGAAGGGTGAAGTAGGGTGGAGTGCGGTGAGGAGGGATTCAGTGTGCAATTTAGGGCATACCCCAGCGCCACCGCCCCCCAATGCAAGTTCAGGCGCCCCTCGGGAATTCCGAGCAGCTTCTGAATCGCCAGAGCCACCACCTGGAGCGGCGGGCGGGGGTGTGGGGCGGATAAGGAGGGTGAGAAGGGTGCCGTTCAGTGGAGTGCGGTGAAGTGGAGTGCGGTCAAGTGGAGTGGAATCCATGGCAGCCACTCGCAGCTGCTGCCCCCCCGGCGGCCGAGTGCAAGCTTCAATCGATTGTTGATAGGCACTGGGCATACGCCAGTCCAACTCACCGAGAAGGCTTCGTTGATCTCCCAGTGATCCACGTCGCTCTGTTCCACGCCCGCATGCCTCGAGAGCCACCGGCACTGCGAGGGCGACCCTTGGGGGCTGATCATACGACTAACTGCAGAGTGCACCCAAGTGCACTTGAGGGATCACTCGCAAAACCCACCGAGAATGCTTCGTTGATCTCCCAGTAATCCACGTCGCTCTGCTCCACCCCCGCATGCTTGAGCGCCACGGGCACTGCGAGGGCCGGCGCTGTGGTGAAGCGGCTGGGTGCTTGCTCCGCGTCTCCAAAGCCTCGCAGCACTGCCAGCACGTTCAGCCCGTGCTGCCTGGCTGCCTGGCGGCTTGCCAACACCACTGCTGCTGCCCCGTCACTGGATGTGAGGATAGTGCAGAGATGGGATGCAGATGTGAGAGACATGGGTAAGAAGAGGGGAAGGTTGAGGGGGGTCGGAGGAAAGATTGAGGGATGGGGAAAGGATAATGGGTAGGGAGAACAGGGAAGGGTGAATAGGGAGTGGGGGTTGGCTGGGTGCTTGCTCCGCGTCCCCAAAGCCCCGCAGCACTGCCAGCACGTTCAGCCCGTGCTGCCTGGCTGCCTGGCGGCTTGCCAACACCACTGCTGCTGCCCCGTCACTGGATGTGAGGATAGCGCAGAGATGGGATGCAGATGTGAGAGACATGGGGAAGAAGAGGGGAAGGTTGAGGGGGGTCGGAGGAAAGATTGAGGGATGGGGAAAGGATAATGGGTAGGGAGAACAGGGAAGGGTGAATAGGGAGTGGGGGTTGGCTGGGTGCTTGCTCCGCGTCCCCAAAGCCGCGCAGCACTGCCAGCACGTTCAGCCCGTGCTGCCTGGCAGCTTGACGGCTTGCCAACACCACTGCTGCTGCCCCATCACTGAATGGGAGGGAAAGAATGGTGTGGGAGAAGATGGGGAACATATGAGAAGAGAAAGATGATGAGAAGATTGAGGGGGATGGGGGTTTGGAGAACCGGAAACGGGGAATAGGGAGTGGGGGTTTGGCTGGGTGTCTGCTCCGCGTCCCCAAAGCCCCGCAGCACTGCCAGCACGTTCAGCCCGTGCTGCCTGGCTGCCTGCCGGCTTGCCAACACCACTGCTGCTGCCCCGTCACTGGTGGAAAGATGGGGAAGACGAGGGGAGGTAGGGGAGCCGATGGGAGGAGATGGGGAAAGGAGGATAGGGAATGGGCATGTGTGCCTTGGTGGTGTGTACGATATTATGCACGCATTTCAGTGAGTTGTGTTGTTTCATTTATAGAGGCTGCAACACTACTTATGAATGGTATTTGTTTCAAAAAGTCTGGAAGAGGAATGAAGAGGAGCGGAACTGGAGTGGAAAGAGGGGTGAAACAGTTCTGAGGGAGAAGATAGATGAGAAAGGAAGGAGTTGGAAGTACAGTTACTATCATAATTACGTTTTTTTTTTTTTTTTTTTTAGGACTGAATCCAACTCAATCGGTGTTGCCAGCTGGCACACCTGATGGCTGAGGCGTTGCCAGCTGTGACGGTGCCGTTCTCCTTGAAACATGGACGCAGCAAGCGAAGCTTGTTGGCGTCAAACTGGCCGGGGGAAGGAGAAAGAGGGAGAGACGGGTGTCGAGCAGAGGGAGGGAGGGAGGTTGGTGTGATAATTAGAGTCCACTATTGTGAATGCACTTGAAGCATGGGCGTAGCAGGCAATGCTGTTGGGATCAAACCGGCCGTGGGAAGGAGAAAGAGGGAGGGACGGGTGGCAAGAAGTGGGAGGGAGGGAGGCGATCATTCAAGTGCGTGGTTAGTGTGGCGAGTAGGCTCCAACCACTTCTTTCAGTGTTGGTGCAGTTGGTACACCGAAAGATGCACCAGAAGAAAATTCTGCGGTATGCAGAGGGAGGAATGAAGGGGGCCGGGGAGAAACACTAGGCAGAGGAGTAAAGCAAAGACCCTGCCATTCGCGCTTCCACACACTGAGCATCCCGCCTATCCGTTCCCAAAGACCCACCTTGGCACATGGTTCGTCCCTCTCGACAAGAATCGTTTGCTTTCCCTTTGACGCCTTGACCTCCACCTGAGCCATGGAACAGGGGAGAGAAAAACGAGGGGGAGGGGGTTTTGGAGGAGGGGTTGAGGGCGAGGGGGTTTAGGAGGTGGGGTGGGGAGGAACGGAAGTTTACAAGGGAGGCATAACCAACTTCTAGTCTTCACCTCCACGTTATACACATCCTCTCGTGCACAGTCACACACTCCCTTGCACACTACTCCCTCACACACTCCCTTACACACTCCCCACTGCACTCTCACCAGCCCACACACACACACATAATTTCTATCTCTCACTCAAAAGCACCGTCAGCATGGGCAGAGTAATTTGTAAGTGGGTTTGAGCTTTGACCATCCACTCACGTACTCCCTTGCACCCTCCCTCCTCATGCACAGGAGTTTCCCAAACAAACGCGTCATCAGCATGGGCAGCAGCGCTCCCTCACACTCTCCCGCACCCAAACCCTCATTCATTCACACCCCACCCACTCATGAATTCCTTCACGCTCTCCCTCCTTCACTCCCACAGCCCCACCCACTCACGCACAGGCACGATTTCCCAGTCAAAAGCGCCGTCAGCATGGGCAGCAACACTCCCGCACACTCTCCCTCCTCCACCCCCTCCCCAACCCCACCCCCCTGTCCCCACCCACTCACGCACAGGCACAATTTCCCAGTCAAAAGCGCCGTCAGCATGGGCAGCAGCAGCCCTCTCGTGCGTGGCAGTGGCATGCTCATCCTGCTGCTCCCGCCCAATGCCCTGCTCCTCCGCACACTGCTCTGCAAAGCACATCCCTCCATCCTTCACTCCCTCCCACCCTATCCCCACCACCCCCCCTTCCCCCCTCCCCCCTCCTCCACCCACTCACGCACAGGCACAATTTCCCAGTCAAAAGCGCCGTCAGCATGGGCAGCAGCGGCCCTCTCGTGCGTGGCAGTGGCATGCTCGTCCTGCTGCTCCCCCCTTCCTTCACACCACCCATCCACCCACCCACTCACGCACTCCCTCGAACTCTCCCTCCTTCAACCCAATCCCCCCCCTCCCCCACCCACTCACGCACAGGCACGATCTCCCAGTCAAAAGCGCCGTCAGCATGGGCAGCAGCAGCCCTCTCGTGCGTGGCAGTGGCATGTGCGTCCTGCTGCTCCCGCGCTATGCCATGCTCCTCCGCACACTGCTCTGCAAAGCACCCCATGGGGTCCTCTGAATACGCGTCGCTGAGGCCGTCCCTCTGTACCCCATCCACCATCTCCCCATGCCCAAACCGGTACCCACTCCTGTTTTGCGTGCCATGGGGAAGTGGGGGTTGGGGTTGGGACATGGCAAAGGGAAGGTGGGGGGAGAGGGGGAGAGAGGAATCACAGGTTGAGGCACCATTAGGCTCTCATTCTGCTGCTCCCGCCCTATGCCATGCTCCTCCGCACACTGCTCTGCAAAGCACCCCATGGGGTCCTCTGAATACGCGTCGCTGAGCCCATCCCTCTGCACCCCATCCACCATCTCCCCATGCCCAAACCGGTACCCACTCCTGGTCAAAAACAGTGGGGGTTTGATGATGGGAAATGACATGGGGAGGTGGGGGGAGAAGGGGAGAAGGTGGAAGAATCGCAGCTTGAGGCACCTCTAGACCCTCGTCCTGCTGCTGCCTGCTTCTCCAATGCTCCTTGGCACAAAGCACCCCATGGGGTCCTCTGAATACGCGTCACTGAGGCCATCCCTCTGCACCCCATCCACCATCTCCCTGTGCCCAAACCGGTACCCATTCCTGTTTTAAACGGAACAGGGAGTGAGCAACACGCCTTACTACAACAATAAGGCACGATGAGTAACGCATCTCCTGATAATGATCCAGATCTTCAGCTTCTCGAACCAAGGCGACCAATTTACCAACCTCATCACCCTGTTCCTCATTCACCATCTCCCCAATCCCGAAGGGGAACCCCACCCCTCTGGTGCCACACAACGCTCAGACAGCTCTCCACATCCGCAAGCCTTTTCCCAATCCCCTTTCCCCCATCTACCCCCTCCCTCCCATCCCCTCCTCCCTGTTGTCTACGACCAGGAGTGGGTAGCTCACCTGGCCTTAGTAAGATGTGTTGCTCACCTTAACGTGTATATTGCTCACCTTGCCTTATAAGGCCTGGTGCTTGTAGCGTACCTGGCCTTAGTAAGATGTGTTGCTCACCTTAACGTGTATATTGCTCACCTTGCCTTATAAGGCCTGGTGCTTGTAGCGTACCTGGCCTTAGTAAGATGTGTTGCTCACCTTAACGTGTATATTGCTCACCTTGCCTTATAAGGCCTGGTGCTTGTAGCGTACCTGGCCTTAGTAAGATGTGTTGCTCACCTTAACGTGTATATTGCTCACCTTGCCTTATAAGGCCTGGTGCTTGTAGCGTACCTGGCCTTAGTAAGATGTGTTGCTCACCTTAACGTGTATATTGCTCACCTTGCCTTATAAGGCCTGGTGCTTGTAGCGTACCTGGCCTTAGTAAGATGTGTTGCTCACCTTAACGTGTATATTGCTCACCTTGCCTTATAAGGCCTGGTGCTTGTAGCGTACCTGGCCTTAGTAAGATGTGTTGCTCACCTTAACGTGTATATTGCTCACCTTGCCTTATAAGGCCTGGTGCTTGTAGCGTACCTGGCCTTAGTAAGATGTGTTGCTCACCTTAACGTGTATATTGCTCACCTTGCTTTATAAGGCCTGGTGCTTGTAGCGTACCTGGCCTTAGTAAGATGTGTTGCTCACCTTAACGTGTATATTGCTCACCTTGCCTTATAAGGCCTGGTGCTTGTAGCGTACCTGGCCTTAGTAAGATGTGTTGCTCACCTTAACGTGTATATTGCTCACCTTGCCTTATAAGGCCTGGTGCTTGTAGCGTACCTGGCCTTAGTAAGATGTGTTGCTCACCTTAACGTATATATTGCTCACCTTGCCTTATAAGGCCTGGTGCTTGTAGCGTACCTGGCCTTAGTAAGATGTGTTGCTCACCTTAACGTGTATATTGCTCACCTTGCCTTATAAGGCCTGGTGCTTGTAGCGTACCTGGCCTTAGTAAGATGTGTTGCTCACCTTAACGTGTATATTGCTCACCTTGCCTTATAAGGCCTGGTGCTTGTAGCGTACCTGGCCTTAGTAAGATGTGTTGCTCACCTTAACGTGTATATTGCTCACCTTGCCTTATAAGGCCTGGTGCTTGTAGCGTACCTGGCCTTAGTAAGATGTGTTGCTCACCTTAACGTGTATATTGCTCACCTTGCCTTATAAGGCCTGGTGCTTGTAGCGTACCTGGCCTTAGTAAGATGTGTTGCTCACCTTAACATGTATATTGCTCACCTTGCCTTATAAGGCCTGGTGCTTGTAGCGTACCTGGCCTTATTGAGGTAGTAAGGCGCGTTGCTCATGCTCTCCATGCCGCCTGCCACCACCACGTCCGCCAGCCCCAGCATGATGGACTGTGCTGCTAGGCATATGGCTGCATGCACAGGGAGAGGAGAGCCGAGAAACGAGGTGAGGAGGGGCAATGGAGAGGCCTTTTCAGGCATCCCATGGGGCTATGGCTGCAGGAGCAGGCAGCAGGGGGATAATTCACTAGTACGAACTGGGCAACCTGTGACATGCGCGACGCGCGTCCAGATCGCGTCGGAAGGCCTGAACACGCCTCTCATCATCGCATCACACCAATCAGCACCGCATCACACACCTTTCATGCCAGAGGCACAGACTTTGTTGACGGTGGTTGCCACCACGGAGTCAGGCAGTCCCGCCCCAAGTGCTGCCTGTCTGGCTGGTATCTGTCTGGCTGGCGCCTATCCCTCAAAATCACACCTTTCAGCACCGAATTAACCCCTCATCACCGCATCATATCCCCCATCACCGCGTGACGCCTCTCAGCACCGCGTCACACACCTTTCATGCCCGAGGCACAGACTTTGTTGACGGTGGTTGCCACCACGGAGTCAGGCAGCCCTGCCCCAAGTGCCGCCTGTCTGGCTGTCCCCTGCCTGCCGGTAGCCTACACCGCATCACACATCTCATCACCGCATCACACACCTTTCATGCCCGAGGCACAGACTTTGTTGACGGTGGTTGCCACCACGGAGTCAGGCAACCCTGCCCCAAGTGCCGCCTGTCTGGCTGGCGCCTGCCCCAGGTCCGCACTCAGCACGTTGCCCATATACACCTCCTCCACATCCGCCGGCCCTAGGCCTGACCGGCCGACCGCCTCTGCAGGAAGACAAGGGATTAAAGAAGGGTGCATTAAAAAAACCAGTTGGCGCCTGCCCCAGGTCCGCACCGAGCACGTTGCCCATACACACCTCCTCCACATCTGCCGGGCCCAGGCCTGACCGCCCTACGGCCTTTGCAGAAAAAAGAAGGGATCAAAGAAGGGTGCATTCAAAAGACCAGTTGGCGCCTGCCCCAGGTCCGCACTCAGCACGTTGCCCATATACACCTCCTCCACATCCGCCGGCCCTAGACCCGACCTTCCCACAGCCTCTGCAGGAAAGCCGGGAGGAAGGAACGTGCGTGCAGTGAGTATCGCCTGTCTATTTTTTAGTCGACAAAAAAGTCGTGCTTTTGACACGCCTCAAAAGACGGGAAGGAGGAAGGCGCGTCCAGGTGAGCGTCGCCTCTCTAGGTGCTGACTGGAGAGAGGAAACCGCGAGCATGGAGGTGAACCGAGCTGAGAAGCAGCGTGTGGGAATAGCAAAGGCCGAGGTGGGTGGCGGAGAGGGAGGAGAACCCATGCAGTGACTTTTGAGTCGAGTCGAAGGACGGGGGAAGCAGGAAGTGAGACTCCTGACCTCTGCTGGCCGTGGCACCGAGGCGGGTAGCGGAGAGGGAGGAAAGCGAACCCATGCAATGACTTTCGAATCAGTTCCAAGAGAGTAGCAGAAGGCAAGGAATGGGATGACTGACCTCTGATGGCGATGGCGCCGAGCTGGGTGGCGGAGAGGGAGGACAGCGAGCCCATGAAGCTTCCCATGGGCGTGCGCGCTGCTCCCACTATGCATACCTCTGCGTAGGGAAGGAGATAAGAAAAACCGGGAAGAATCGAGAGAGGTTATGGAAGGGCCGAGCTGCATGGCGGAGAGGGAGGAAAGCGAGCCCAAGTTTCTCATGGGCGTGCGCGCAGCTCCCACTATGCATAACGCTGGAGGAGGAAGAAGATGCGGAGAATAGGACAGGGCCGAGAGAGGTTAACGGCATTGGAGCACGAAATACATTCTGAAGGAATCTGTTGTGACGTCGTAAAAACCGAGGGAAAATAACGGCCTGAGAGCTCAGAAGATATAGTTACTGAAAGCTCGCATGCACGTCCTGAAAAGTGCGGGAGTTTTCGCGCCAGGACAAAAATACAATAAATAAACGGAAGGTCACCCTACATTTGCCATGTCAGTTCTGCACGTTCTGCCGCCTGGAAGTTCAGCTGTTTCGGAAAAGAAACGGGATATTCTAGTGAGCATTTACATTACGCCGTACCCCTGGGATCAAATTCGTCATTTTGATGCTCAGCGCCGTTCGCCTCTGCTGGTGGCGTGGTAGTCGTTGCCGAACCACCCATCAGGACTGACTGTCGCTACTCGACAGACACGGAATCTGTAATGAATGAGAGGAGAAGCTGCAGCGATTGAGAAGGACGCTGGGAATTGGCCTCTAAGACCTCCGTTACTCGCTCTTGAGCCAAAGTAGTGCGCAGGGACACCTACAGAAACAGCTCTGGCTGAATCTTTGGTGAAGGGTGAAGAGAAAGGTATGATGCTAGTGGCTCTGAATCCGGAATTTCGACGCAGTGAGGTGCCGGGCCAGAACGACAATGCTCGGCCTGTAATGCTTTAGCTTTGTAATCTTGAGAAGAGTAAGGACGCGTCACCTCTTTCTTCAGGAGGGCGATCGATCGTGCACACGATCGGTGTGTCGGATGTACAGTACTTTCGCGAGTTGGCGAAATGTGCTGTTTCCAGGTTTCGGAAACCATCGAGAATGTACAGTAAATTGGTCATCCAGAAGGTGTCACCTAGGGCTCACGCGATCGATGTGCCAAAAGCCGACTATCGATCGTGCAATTGTGGCGATCGTGCAATTTTGCCCCATAAAATTCCTAGCTTGTCACCTGTGGCTCGGCGGAGCCCGCGATCGGAAAAGTGCAATGGAGCACACCGATATGCACACCGATCGCGGCAAAATCGGTGTGTTGTACCGATTGCCCCTCGATCCTGCCATTTTGGAAAGAGGTGACGCGTCCTAAGTTACTCTCCGGACTTCGAGCCCTAGAACCGTATGGTGCAAATGTCTCTGAAGCTGGTTCTTGCTGAGGAAAACCTGTCACAACTCATGGTAGCCATCGTTGTATACGTTTCGGGGATGCTTGAAGGCGGGATTATTGGGAGGGGAGGGTGTGCTTGAAGTCGAGATGACGCTTGCGCAGAAGCTGCGAAAGCATTCGGCTTTCGCAAAATCCGATCCGACCGACATCGGTTGTGGTTGAGAATGGAGCAGCAGGGTCCACTTTCGGCCGTGTTCTGCAGGCGCATCAGCTGTGATGCGCCGTAGGCTCGGACTGATGCGCACATTGGAAAATCGAGGTTCGGAAATGGCGAAATTGAAATTGCGAAATTTAGGTTCGGACATGTCGATTTGAGGCTTGGAAAATTTGACGAAATTCAATTGAGGTCAGGAAATTGGACATTCAATTTCCTGGCGAATTTCAACATTCTGATTTTTCCAGGTTTCTGGGAAGTTAGAAGTCTCTGAATTTCGGAGGTGCCAAAATGATTGGCCAATGAGGTTGCAGTATTTTTTCGAATTTGCCTGATGCGCGCATGAATCGACTTTTCGAAGTTGCATGATGCGCGCATTTCAAATGCGCCCGTTTGCTAGGACGAGAAACATCCGAGAACGTGGCGACATAGGAAATTTTGGTCGCCAAAAAGGCCGTTCTGCAGGCATTCTGGCTAGGTCTGCCTCGGCTCTGATGCGCTTATCGCGAGCCTTGATAACCTGTCGGCAGGTTATCAACGAAGGATCCTGGAGCCCCGAGAAATTGCATCAATGTACATTGATGCGGCCGGATGCGGCCTGATGCGCCTGCAGAACAAGGCCTTTGTGGTGTGGGTTGGGTTTCTCTTGTCGCGTGGACTGGAAATGAAGCTGATTTGCTGGATGTTCGGCGGGAAAAGCTCGATTGTTTCGCGGAATGTACGGGTGTCAAACCGTCTCCGATTGGTTGTGGTCCAGCGCTGTGTGCGTTAAAGTATCTTCCTACGACTCTTTACAAAGCTTGCACCCGCTTCCAAAATGCTATAGTCCCGTGTTTGTTATAACTGCTATTGAACATTCAGCCTCATCTGAATTTGACCACACCTTTTTTCTCGCGCGCGAACTTCGGCGGATCCGTGACGTGCGATCTGCTCCGCAGGTGAACCCCAAGCTTCATCCATCGAACCCGTTGAGATTCTCAAAGGCCTTATCCAGACCGCTCGTTGAAACTGCTTGGTTCTTTCACACGTTTATGCAGATAGCCGAGAACCATGGACAAACAACACGTTTTCCAGCAAGGCGTGTTTTCAAACAAATACAGTGCGGTTATTATGCCACTTTGTGTTGATTCGCGACACATCAGGTGAAACAAAAGCAGCGATTGCTGAACTTAGTGACACCAAGTTGCAGCCTGCAATTTCATAGATGGGATTCAGTCCAGAAAGCACACTAAGGGCGTGTGCAATCAGGTCGAAGTTTGTCAAAGCTCGACCTTAACCGCTTTGCACCGTGGCAAAACGTCTCCTATTAGTATCGTACCGAGTAGAACCTCGCTAGAAGTTCGAACTTAGACATAAGTTCGAACCCCAAGTGCACACGCCCTAAAAGAACACGACCCAGCACAAACTCAGAGAGGCAACTCTCAGACAGGAGTAATCAAGTGACGGGCGTGCCTGAAGGATTTCTGGGGTGTACTTGAAGTCTCCAAAAGCTCACCGCAAAAATCGCGTGTCGTGGATCTTGAGGTAGTGTCACATGTAGCGGTTCGCTTTACCAAGGTAGTATGAGAAGACTGCTCTGTCCCAAGATCCATCAGTCGCCATATATCTGTCGCAACAAGACGAGAAGGCTTTTCTCCTTCCAGGCTTCCGAACCAGGCTTCCATACTACCGATTTTCCAGATTCGGTTTTAGCTCTGAACTGGGAGTGGCCTTGAAACTTCGGATCACTAGGGAGATTTTCGTTTCCATGCGAGAACAACACTTGATGCCTCGTATGTCCACTGACAAGGCCATTCCGAGACTAGTTGTACTCCAACCTTCGTCGTAGCCAGTCGTAATCCAAGCGTATATTGAATCTTCTCATACGACTTTAAGTTCGTCCCCAGTGAGTTTCGCCTACAACTTCGTGTCGCCATGGCGTCGGTGGAGATCGCTCGCATGCTGCCGATCATCGGTCCTCGACTCGCGGAGGCGATGGAGGGGTTGAATTCGCTCGTCATTCCGGTCGCCTTGGCGTTCCTGGTCGTCATCATCGTGCAGTACTTGAGGTACCGGCTGCTTGTACTAGCATTAGCTGATGGTTGTCGTTCTCAAAAAAGGGAAAAATCAACTCGGTCGCCTTTCCCGTCGCCGTGGCGTTCCTGGTCGTCATCATCGTGCAGTACCTCAGGTAACCGTCGCTGCTTGGACTAGCGTTGCCTGATGGCTGTCTTTTTCAGAAAGTGGAATTTAGTTTGGTCGTCGTTCCCGTCGCGGTGGCCTTGCTGATCATCGTCACCATCGTGCAGTGCCTGAGGTGATGCTTGTACGAGCCTTGGCTGATGAGTATTGGTTTTGAAACGGGGAATTCAACCCGATCGTCATTCCCGTCGCCGTCGCGTTCCTGGTCGTCATCATCGTGCAGTACCTCAGGTAACCGTCGCTGCTTGGACTAGCATTGGCTGATGGGTGTAATTTTCATAAGGGAGGAATTCAACCCAGTCGTGATTCCCGTGCCCGTGGCCTTGCCGATCATCGTCAGCATCGTGCAGTACCTGGGGTAACCGTGCGCTGCATTCAGTGCTCGATGATGAGAATTTTCAACAGATTCGCAGCGATTCCCGCTCCGGGACTTCAATCTGTCTGATGCCGGGTGCTGCCTGATGAAGGCACGCCCAGCCTGACATACCGCCACGCGCACTTCCCCACACTGCTCTTCCTTGCCTCTTCCCTTCTTCCCCCTTTCCTCCCCCAGCTCCTCCCCCAAGAGGCATCTCTATGGAGTGCTTCTAGACGCGGGCACGCCCGGCCTCACCTACCGCCACGCGCACTTCCCCACGCTGCTCGAAATCCCCTTTGACGGCGCCACCACCGTCGCCTCCCTCTTTGTCATCGCCTCCCGCCGCCACCACCACCGCCCGCTCCTCGGCACGCGGAAATTCCTCTCGCGAACAGTAATCAACGAGGAGGGCAAGGAGATTGAGAAGCTGGAATTCGGGGAGTACGAGTGGGAGTCGTACTCTCGGGCGTTGGATCGGGCGGAGGCGTTTGGCGGGGGGTTAAGGAATGTGGGGCATGGGCGCGGGGAGGCGGTGGCGATAGTGGCGGAGACCAGGGCGGACTTTTATCTTGCGCTGCAGGGGGCGTTTCAGCAGAGCCTGGTGGTGGTCACGGTGTATGCGTCCCTGGGGCAAGAAGCTCTGGTGCACGCACTGAATGAGGTGCGTCGGGAATGGTGGATGGTGGGATGGGGAAGAGAGGTATACGGATGGGTGAGAAAGGGTACTGATGGAGTTGGGTGTTTCAGCTGAGCCTGGTGGTGGTCACGGTGTATGCGTCCCTGGGGCAAGAGTCTCTGGTGCATGCGTTGAATGATGTAGGTCTGTAGTGTATTGGGGTGGCATGGGGAATGTGGCGCATGGGCGCGGGGAGGCGGTGGCGATTGTGGCGGAGACGCGCGCGGACTTTATGCGTTTCAGCAGAGCCTGGTGGTGGTGACGGTGTATGCGTCCCTGGGGCAGGAAGCAATGGTGCACGCGTTGAATGAGGTAGGGCGGGGACTGAAGGGGACTGATGGGGATTGATGGGGACTGATGGGGACTGATGGGGCTTGATGGGGATTGATGGGGATTGATGGGGATTGATGGGGATTGATGGGGCTTGATGGGGCTTGATGGGGCTTGATGGGGATTGATGGGGCTTGATGGGGCTTGATGGGGCTTGATGGGTCTTGATGGGGGTTGATGGGGCTTGATGGGGCTTGATGGGGCTTGATGGGGCTTGATGGGGCTTGATGGGGCTTGATGGGGCTTGATGGGGATTGATGGGGATTGATGGGGCTTGATGGGGCTTGATGGGGCTTGATGGGGCTTGATGGGGCTTGATGGGGCTTGATGGGGCTTGATGGGGCTTGATGGGGCTTGATGGGGCTTGATGGGGCTTGATGGGGCTTGATGGGGATTGATGGGGATTGATGGGGATTGATGGGGCTTGATGGGGATTGATGGGGATTGATGGGGCTTGATGGGGCTTGATGGGGCTTGATGGGGCTTGATGGGGATTGATGGGGCTTGATGGGGCTTGATGGGGATTGATGGGGCTTGATGGGGCTTGATGGGGCTTGATGGGGCTTGATGGGGCTTGATGGGGCTTGATGGGGCTTGATGGGGCTTGATGGGGCTTGATGGGGCTTGCTGGGGCTTGCTGGGGCTTGCTGGGGCTTGCTGGGGCTTGCTGGGGCTTGATGGGGCTTGATGGGGCTTGATGGGGCTTGATGGGGCTTGATGGGGCTTGATGGGGCTTGATGGGGATTGATGGGGATTGATGGGGATTGATGGGGCTTGATGGGGATTGATGGGGATTGATGGGGCTTGATGGGGCTTGATGGGGCTTGATGGGGCTTGATGGGGATTGATGGGGCTTGATGTGGCTTGATGGGGATTGATGGGGCTTGATGGGGCTTGATGGGGCTTGATGGGGCTTGATGGGGCTTGATGGGGCTTGATGGGGCTTGATGGGGCTTGATGGGGCTTGATGGGGCTTGATGGGGCTTGCTGGGGCTTGCTGGGGCTTGCTGGGGCTTGCTGGGGCTTGCTGGGGCTTGATGGGGCTTGATGGGGCTTGATGGGGCTTGATGGGGCTGGCGCGTTTCAGCAGAGCCTGGTGGTGGTGACGGTGTATGGGGCAAGAAGCTTTGGTGCATGCACTGAACGAGGTAGGGTGGGATGGAGTTGGGATGAGGTTGTGATGGGGTTGGGATGGGGTTGGGATGAGGTTGTGATGGGTTAGGATGGGGTTCGGATGGGGTTCGGATGGGGTTCGGGTTCGGATGGGGTCGGGATGAGGTTGGGATGGGGTTGGGATGGGGTTGGGATGAGGTTGTGATGGGGTTGGGATGGGGTTCGGATGGGGTTCGGATGGGGTTCGGATGGGGTCGGGATGAGGTTGGGATGGGGTCGGGATGAGGTTGGGATGGGTTTGGATAAGCTTGGGATGGGGCTGGGATGGGGCTGGGATGGGGCTGGGATGGGGTTGAGATGGGTTGGGAGGGATGGGGTTGAAGATGGAGTTGGACTGAAACGTTTCAGCAGAGCCTTGAGGTGCTGATAACAGGCTGACTTGATGGGCTGTCACAGAGTCTTACCCCACGCTCCCCCCTTTCGCCAGCACCACAGTCATCTGCGAGCACAAGCAGCTGAAGGCAAGGCTTTCCAGCTGACTCACACTCACCCTCCCACCCCCTCTCCCGCTTCACACCCCTCCCCTCATGACAGACAGAGGTCACCGCAGTCATCTGCGAGCACAAGCAGCTGAAGGCAAGGCTTTCCAGCTGACTCACACTCACCCTCCCACCCCCTCTCCCGCTTCACACCCCTCCCCTCATGACAGACAGAGGTCACCGCAGTCATCTGCGAGCACAAGCAGCTGAAGGCAAGGCTTTCCGGCTGACTCACAATCCCCCTCTCCTCCCACCACAGACGGAGGTGACGACAGTGGTGTGCGACCACAAGCAGCTGGAGAAGCTGGAGGAGGCGTCCTCCAAGGGCGAGCTCAAGACAGTGCAGCGCGTCATCATGATGCCCGAGCCTCGCCCCCTGTCCGAGGCCGGCCAGGGGCCCACCGAAGCAGAGGCTAAAGTGGCGACGGGTCAGCTGGCGCCAGGTGTCGCTCTGCTGGCGTTTGCTGACGTGGAGAAGAGCGGGGTTGAGTCGCCGGTAACGCCGGAGCTTCCCCAGCCGTCGGATCTGGCAGTGATCATGTACACATCGGGATCAACTGGGCTGCCCAAGGTGAGGGTTTCATTCACACTCACAGTGGTGAGAAAACTGTGAACATTCACTCTCAATTCAGTACCCAACAATCGACTAAGGTCAGATCTGGCGGTGATCATGTACACGTCGGGATCGACTGGGCTGCCCAAGGTGAGGGTTTCACACTTCCGGTGGTGAGGATGTCACACCCACAGTGGTAGGGGTTTCACACTCGCAGTTGTGAGTGTAACGGTTGTCTTCAGTCCCTCCCTGCCCTCCCTGGCAGGGCGTCATGCCATGTCAATTTTGTCGCAGTCTTTGCAGCCATCATGGCTCAAAAGCCCACACCAACTAATTGACAACTGGCTAACTGACTCGCATTCCACCCTCTCGCCCATCTTCCTCCCCGCCTCCCTGCCCTGCCCTTCCCACTGTTCCCCCAGGGCGTCATGCTATCACACGGCAACCTGGTGGCAGTCTTTGCAGCCATCATGGCTCAAGTGCCCGATGCCAATTTCAACGATGTGTACATCGCCTACCTGCCCTTGTCACACGTGCTCGAGCTCGCAGCAGAGGTGGGTCAGTTGAGTTGAGCTACCGGTACTCTCTTAGACTGCACCATGTGTTTGCAGCCATCATGGCTCAAGTGCCAGATGCCAATTTCATTCAACGATGTCTACATCGCCTATCTGCCCCTGTCACACGTGCTCGAGCTCGCAGCAGAGGTGCGTTGACTGGGCTGAGCTGCTACTGGTACTCTCTTGAACCGCACAGCACCGCACCACATACTCGAAGTGCATCATGGCTCAAGTGCCCGATGCCAATTTTAACGATGTCTACATTGCCTACCTGCCCTTGTCACACGTGCTCGAGCTGGCTGCAGAGTTGAGTCGGGGATTCAGTCAGATTACATCAGTGTAAGGAACAGGGACTCACGTGTGAGTAGGAGACTCAAATTCCTGATGCCAGCTTCAACGACGTGTACATCCCTACCACAGAGATTGCTGTGGTTAGTGAATCAAATCTTTCGAGTGCTTACCTGCCCTTGTCTCAAGTGCTGGAGCTGGCAAGCTCGTACTAAGATTCGATTCACTTACCACAGAGACGTGTACAGGGTTTAGGTGGGATTACGGTTCAGGGTTTCAGCGCAGGTTTAAGGTTTAGGGTTTGTTAGTTGACGTTCCCACTTTTGTATCTTTCCAGCTAGGAGAGGTGTCCGTGGGAGGGTCTATAGGCTACGGCTCCCCTCACACACTCATTGACATGGCGCCCAAGGTCAAGCCGGGCAGCAAGGGAGGCTCACCCAATATCTTCTCTTCCATTGTGCTTCCCTTGCACCCCTGCAATCACTCCAGCTAGGAGAGGTGTCCGTGGGAGAGTATAGGCTACGGCTCCTCTCTCACTCTCGTTGCCATGGCGCCCAAGGTCAAGCCCTTCAGCAAGGGAGGCTCACCAAAACGCTGCTTTCCATTGCTTTTCCCCCCCGCACCTTCCCGGGCCACCCTCATGCACCCCACCTGTTGCCTTGGCTATGCATCCCACCAGCTAGGAGCGGTGTCGGTCGGTGGTTCTATAGGCTACGGCTCCCCACTAACGCTCGTTGACATGGCACCCAAAGTCAAGCTGGGCATCAAGGGAGACGTGCCGCAGCTTCTCTGACTTAGTGTCCTGCCTGCACCCATCCTCATGAAACCCCCCACTCCCTTGTTCACCAGCTAGGGGCAGTATCGGTTGGAGGATCCATAGGCTACGGGTCTCCTCTCACGCTCGTTGACATGGCGCCCAAGGTCAAGCTCGGGACCAAGGGAGACGCACCTCAGCTGAGGCCGACGCTGATGGTGGCGGTGCCGGCTATTCTGGACCGCATCAGGGATGCTGTGAGACGCAAGGTGAGCTGCTGCAGGGAGGATTATGTGACATAAAGCTGGGCAGCAAGGGAGACGCGCCGCAGCTGCGACCGACGCTGATGGTGCAGTGCCAGCTATTCTGGACCGCATCAGGGATGCTGTGAGGCGGAAGGCGAGGACAGTCTGTCGGGGCGAGGGGTGAGTGAGACTATTTTGAGCGGCAGGCGGGGAGAGAGTGCTCTGCGTGATTCGAAGGTGAGGCGGTGGTTGTCCTTTTGAGTCGAGTTGACTTTTGAGTCGAGTTGACTTTTGAGTCGAGTTGACTTTTGAGTCGAGTTGACTTATGAGTCGAGTTGACTTTTGAGTCGACTCAAAAGTCGATTCGAAGGTGAGGCGGTGGTTGTCCTTTTGAGACGTCGACTTTTGAGTCGAGTTGACTTTTGAGTCGACTCAAAAGTCGATTCGAAGGTGAGGCGGTGGTTGTCCTTTTGAGACGTCACAGAAGTTGTCCCTGTTTCAAATTGCGCCCCACGCTCATGGTGGTTGTGCTGCCCATTCTGGACCTCATTCGAGACGATGTGAGAAGAATGGTGAGCTGAGGAGCATAGAAGTTGTGTGAGGACAGGAGAGGCGGGTGCAGAGAGAAAGGTGACGGGTCTGCCAGATTCTCGTTGGCAGATTCTACATTTGTAAGGCGATGCTCGTTCCTCTTTTCTTTAGGCGCCTCAAATTTCGTCCTTCTCTCCAGCTGCGCCCCGTGCTCATGGTGGCTGGCTGGCGGTGCCGGTCGTTCTGGGCCACATTCGGGGTGCTGTGAGGCGGAAGGTGAGACTCGTCTTTGACTCTGATGTGAGGTGATTTATCGACCCTGGTTAAAAGGTGACTTTTGAGTCGACTCAAAAGTCACCTCGTTCTGGGCCACATTCGGGGTGCTGTGAGGCGGAAGGTGAGACTCATCTTTGACTCTGATGTGAGCTGATTTATCGACTTTTGAGTCGACTCTTGAGTCGACTCAAAAGGTGAGACTCGTCTTTTGACTTGATGTGAGCTGATTTATCGACCCTGGTTAAAAAGCGGGATGATCCCCTTTAACCTCCTCACTTCCTGCTGTGTTGATGTTCCTGCGGTTCAACTTACCTCCATCCCCCTCCCTTCCTTCCGTTTCCAGATAGCAGCAGCACCACGAGTCAGGCGCACGCTATTCAACCTCGCGTACTCACGCCGCCTAGCGGCCATCGAGGGCAGCTGGTTCGGCGCGTGGGGCGTGGAGCGGCTGTTCTGGGACCTGCTGGTGTTTAGAAAGGTGCGCTGCGGTGAGAGTGGTAGTGAGAACGGTGGTGGGGGGGAGGGGGCGAAATGGGAATAAGGGAAGGGAAGGGTGTGTATGTGTGGGGGTTCACTACCTGGCGGCCATAGAGGGCTGCTGGTTTTGCGCGTGGGGAGTGGAGCGACTGCTCTGGGACCTGCTGGTGTTTAGAAAGGTGAGAACAATGTTGGTGGGGAGGAGATTGGGAAAGGGCGCTAAGGGGAAGGGATGCATCTGGGGGATGGCCACTGTCTGCCTGGCGGCCATAGAGGGCTGCTGGTTTTGCGCGTGGGGAGTGGAGCGACTGCTCTGGGACCTGCTGGTGTTTAGAAAGGTGAGAACAATGTTGGTGGGGAGGAGATTGGGAAAGGGCGCTAAGGGGAAGGGATGCATCTGGGGGATGGCCACTGTCTGCCTGGCGGCCATAGAGGCCTGCTGGTTTTGCGCGTGGGGAGTGGAGCGACTGCTCTGGGACCTGCTGGTGTTCCGTAAGGTGAGAGTTACGATGATAGTGCTGTTGCTGAGGAGATGAAGGAGTGAAGGGGGCAGGCAGGGTAAGGGGGGACGTTTGTGCAGCAGCCGATTCTTGTTGGGCGTGGAGCGGCTGTTCTGGGACCTGCTGGTGCTCCGTAAAGTGAGATCCGTGGTGGTGGGGGAGAGGTAACGAGAGGGGGGAAAGTGAGGGGTGTTTGTTCTGGGCGTGCATCAGCCCACTCGCGTGGGGCGTGGAGCGGCTGTTCTGGGACCTGCTGGTGTTCCGTAAGGTGAGTGGATTGTGAGGAAAGGGGAGGGGATGGAAAGAGAGGTGGGGGTGAGGTGAGGGGAATTGGGGGTGGGGACGTTTGTGCCTTGCCCCACCTCCTTGACTTTTGAGTCGACTCAAAAGTCACCTCGAATTGGGGGTGGTGACCTTTGTGCCTTGCCCCACCTCCTTTTTCTCACCTGCACTCTCCCCATCTTTAGCCTCCCATTTCACTCCTTCATTGCCCCCTCACCAGGTGCGAGCAGCAGTGGGCGGCCATCTGCGATTCATGCTGTCAGGGGGGGCTCCTCTCTCTCGCAACTCACAACAGTTTAATCTCCCCTCGATTCCCCACGTATCCCCCCCCTTGTTCTCCACCTTGCATTTCACTCCCACCAGGTGCGAGCAGCAGTGGGGGGCATCTGCGCTTCATGCTGTCAGGGGGGGCTCCTCTTTCTCCCGACTCTCGACAATTTTGTCCCCCTCCATTTCTCCATTATTCCCCCCCTCATTCCCCCTTGCGTCGTCGTCTCCACCCCCTGTCAGGTGCGAGCAGCATTGGGGGGGCATCTGCGCTTCATGCTGTCAGGAGGGGCGCCTCTTTCTCTCTCGAATAACAATGGTTCTATATTTCCCTCAATCTCCCCCTAATCCCCCCCGTCATTCCCCGTCACATCCCTCTCTCCCCCCACACCAGGTGCGAGCAGCAGTGGGGGGGCATCTGCGCTTCATGCTGTCAGGAGGGGCGCCTCTCTCACCCGACTCGCAACGATTCATGAACATTTGCTTCAAGTGAGTTCTGAGCCTGCGTCTAGCGAGTTCTGACTAGCGAGTTCAAATGCTCGGGCCGGGTCGCCCGACCCGACCCGAACATTTGCTTCAAGTGAGTTCTGAGCCTGCGTCCAGCGAGTTCTGACTAGCGAGTTCAAATGTTCGGGTCGGGTCGCCCGACCCGACCCGAACATTTGCTTCAAGTGAGTTCTGAGCCTGCGTCTAGCGAGTTCTGACTAGCGAGTTCAAATGTTCGGGTCGGGTCGCCCGACCCGACCCGAACATTTGCTTCAAGTGAGTTCTGAGCCTGCGTCTAGCGAGTTCTGACTAGCGAGTTCAAATGTTCGGGTCGGGTCGCCCGACCCGACCCGAACATTTGCTTCAAGTGAGTTCTGAGCCTGCGTCTAGCGAATTCTGACTAGCGAGTTCAAATGTTCGGGTCGGGTCGCCCGACCCGACCCGAACATTTGCTTCAAGTGAGTTCTGAGCCTGCGTCTAGCGAGTTCTGACTAAGATTGTGATTGCGCTCCAAGCTCAAGAATATGCATGAAGACGAGATGATTCGCAAGGTTTACGTACACTTGGGCTTCAAAGCTTGTTCCTTATCCTCGTGTCTGCCCCCTCCCTCCCCTCCCTCTCCACTGCACCTCCGCCCATGCCCACAGCATTCCCATCAGCCAGGGCTATGGGCTGACAGAGACAGCAGCAGGGGTAACCTTCTCAGAGTGGGACTACTCCTCTGTTGGCCGCCCATCCCCTCCCTTTCCTTTCCCCCATTTCCCCCCTGTGCTGCCTGCAACCCATCCCTGCACTGCAGCATACTTATCAGCCAGGGCTACGGGCTGACAGAGACAGCAGCAGGGGTAACCTTCTCAGAGTGGGACGACTCCTCTATCGGCCGCGTTGGGCCTCCCATCCCCTTCCTTTCCTCCCTCCTCTCCCTCCCCCTTCCCCTTCTGTGCTACCTACAGCATCCCCATCAGCCAGGGCTATGGGCTGACAGAGACAGCAGCAGGGGGGACTTTCTCAGAGTGGGACGACTCCTCTGTCGGCCGCGTTGGGCCGCCCATTCACTTCCTTTCTGTCCCCCCCTTCCCCGTCCCGGCCCACAGCATCCCCATCAGCGAGAGTACAGCCTCCGTCAAAAGAGCCTGCTTTCTTATCATCGTATCCCCCTTCTCCTCCTTGCCCCATCCTCCCTGCACCCCATGCCTGCAGCATCCCAATCAGCCAGGGCTATGGGCTGACAGAGACAGCAGCGGGGGGGACTTTCTCAGAGTGGGACGACTCCTCTGTGGGCCGCGTGGGGCCGCCCATCCCCTGCAACCTCATTCGGGTGGGTCTTTTAGTATGGGTGGGTGGTTCGGGTGCCGGTTCGGGTGGTGGTTCGGGTGATGGTTCGGGTGGTCGTTCGGGTGGGTTGGACTCAAAAATCTCCTCTGTTGAGTGCGTGCAGCCTCCCATCCCCTGCAACCTTATTCGAGTGGGTGTTTCGGGTGATAGTTTTGGGAGGGTGATTTAGGAGGGTTGTTCGGGCCACGTGGGTTTTTTTAACAACTCAGTAACATTCTGTGGGGTGCCTCTGTCCTCCCACTCCCTGCAACCCCATTCGGGTGGGTTATGATGCGAACGACGATTCCTTAGGCGAAGCAGAATTCTCTCAATTTGCTTCTGGTGGTGCCACAACAAGAAAATCCTATGCAACCGCAGACCAGTGGGTTGCGACACAATTGGGCTTGTGGGCTAAGATGTTTGTTTCTTGCTACAATTCTTGTAAGTCAGCTGATTGCAAACAAGGGGACTTTTGAGGCGCCTAAACAATTCCTGGAAGTCAGCTGATCGCAAACAAGGGGGCGCTGATAAGGATTGGCATGTAAGATTTGATTCGCTAAGGACAAGGTCCCTTTCTCTATGATTTTCTAAGGATGAGTTACATCTGCATATAAGATTATTCCTTCGTTACGCATGCCCTTACCTTTCTTGCCCCCCTCAGCGGATCGACTGGGAGAAGGGCGGTTACCGCATTATCGACTGCTCTTCCCACTCCTCCCTCCTTTCTGTCCCTTGCCGGACTTCCATAATCGTCCCTTCCCACTTGCCACTCCCCCATCTTCCTCCCCTCAGCTGATCGACTGGGAGGAAGGCGGTTACCGCACGACAGACCACCCGCACCCGCGAGGGGAGATTCTGATTGGCGGGCCGAACGTGAGCCTGGGGTACTGGAAGGACAAGGAGAAGACGGAGGAGGTGTTCTCGGTGAGTGGTTGACTTGCTTGACTTTGCTTGGCTTGACTTGCTTGATTCGCATGAATGTGAGCCTGGGGTACTGGAAGGACAAGGAAAAGTCAGCGGGTGTGTGTTCTTGGTGAGTGGTTGACTTGCTTGACTTGACTTGCTTGACTTGACTTGCTTGACTTGACTCGCTTGACTTGCTTGACTTGCTTGACTAGCTTGACTTGCTTGACCCCCCCCCCCTCTTCCCCACCCAACAACAGGAGGACGCACAGGGCATGAGGTGGATTCGCACGGGGGACATGTGAGCAGTGCTGACAGCGGGTGCGTAAATGATCAACTATACTTGCTTGACCTTCCCCCAACACTCACCCACCTGCCTGCCATCAGGAGGACGCGCAGGGAATGAGGTGGTTTCGCACGGGGGACATAGGGGCAGTGCACGCAGACGGGTGTATCCAAATCACGGACCGCAAGAAGGACATTGTCAAGCTGCAGCACGGGGAGTATGTCTCCCTCGGCAAGGTCGAGGCCGTGCTGCAATCAGCCCCTCTCCTCCTCAAATTCTCCCCCCCTTCCCTCCTTCCCTCCTTCCCTCCCTCCCTCCCTCCCTCCCTCCCTCCCTCCCTCCCTCCCTCCCTTCCTCCCCCCTCCCTCCCTCCCTCCCCCTCCCTCCCTCCCTCCCTCCCTCCCCTCTTCCCCACCCAACAACAGGAGGACGCACAGGGAATGAGGTGGTTCCGCACGGGGGACATAGGGGCAGTGCACGCAGACGGGTGTATCCAAATCACGGACCGCAAGAAGGACATTGTCAAGCTGCAGCACGGGGAGTATGTCTCCCTCGGCAAGGTCGAGGCCGTGCTGCAAGTCAGCCCCTTTGTGGACAATCTGCTCGTCTTTGCCGACTCCACCAAGTCGTTTGCGGTCGCGCTGGTGGTGCCGGTGCCGGCTGCGGTGACGGATTTTGCAAAGAGTCAAGGGATTGAGGAGGAGGACTATGCGAAGCTGTGTGCGAGAGAGGACGTGGTGGGGGAGGTGCTGAGATGCCTGCAGAAGGTGCGTTTTTCTTAGTGAGTCAAGGTAGGCTCTCTCATAGGTCATCTGTCTCGGTCGCTGCTGCAAGTCAATCAGCCCTTTTGTGGATAACCTGCTCGTCTTTGCCGATTCCACCAAGTCGTTTGCGGTCGCGCTGGTGGTGCCGGTGCCGGCTGTGGTGACGGATTTCGCCAAGAGTAGACGGATTGAGGAGGAGGATTATGCGAAGCTGTGTGGGAGGGAGGGCGTTGTGGGGGGAGTCCTGAGAAGCCTGCAGAAGGTGCGTTCGTTTCCTACTCTTTTATCTGGTTGAGCGGATTGAGGAGGGGGATTTTGCGAAGCTGTGTGCAAGAGAGGACGTGGTGGCGGAGTGGCGGAGGTGCTGAGATGCCTTCAGAAGGTGTGTTTTCCCATCTCTGTTTGCATGCTCCCTCCCATAGGTAGTACTTGGTTCAATTCAAATGCTTTTTCCAATTCAAATGCTTTTTCAATGACTTGTCCCATAGTTTATGCCATACTTTCTTCCGTCATTTCTTCCGTTCTATCTTCCATTCCTTCTCCTTCCAGGTGAGCAAAGACGCGGGCCTCAACAAGTTTGAGGTGCCCGCAAGGATCAAGCTGCTGCCCGATCCATGGCTGCCCGAAACCGGCCTCGTCACACCTGCCCTGAAAATCAAACGCAACGTGATCCATAAAACGTTTGCCAAGGAGTTGAAAGAGCTCTATGAGTAGCTAGCTACATGACTTGTACGGTATTGATTCTTATACAGGAGACTGCCTGTAGTGTCTAACTGCAGCCTGCTGTGAAAAATATCCATAAGGCATTTGCCAAGGAGTCCTAAAATCTTGACGTGTAGGGTGGGGTCTGATTGACACTACACATGTGGTTACCGTATATGACTACACTACACGACCTTGAAAGGAAGAGGGGACACTTCTTGGATTAGAGCTGAGGGTGAAACCTTACCATACCACGTACTTGGAGGGGCAAATGGTTGTGAAACTGAGTGTGTGCGGATCATGATCCTTTTGATACCGTAGCAAGGGGCTGTGTTGGCATGGGATGCTGGTTAGTGGTACCTAGGTACGTGCCATTCTTGCAGCATCTACCATACCGCTACTACTACCTCCGCATTTGAAACCATATTTATGTGAGCTGTGCGCTGCTTGCTTTGTGAGAAAAAATGCAAAAACACTACATACAAAATTCTGGCACATAGCTTGCTGACAAAGCTCTTGGCCATGCCAGGGAATGGGGACCCTGATATATCCCGAAAGCATTGCGCAGGGAGCAACAAATGCCCTTTATTATCGTGATGTCCCACTCTGACATATTCTCAGCGGATTGGCATGTCAGGTCTAGGAAGGAATGCACCGGAATCCTCCAGTCCTGACATGCCAGAATCCATTTATTCGCCCGTCAGCCAGCCCTACCGGTAAAGAGGTTGCACCGCCAGCACCGACCGCACCACATGGCCAAACTGGTCCTTCCATGTCAGGCTTCCGAATTGGAAGTCAGGAGATGCCATTGCGACTGTAAACCTGACAGTGAACGTTACAGTCCCCATGGGAGGGATTGTAAATTTATTGGGACTTATCGCTGTAATAACACCAGGCGGTGTAACGATAGTCGAAGTGTAGCTGGAAACTGCATTCGCGACGTTCTGCACCGTTCGCGATACCAGCACCGTTTTATTCAATCTTGAGACCGAAATCGTCGGGCGGTTCAGATTGTACGCCGGAATTGGGGACATCTTCGTCTTGATTGGCGCAAAAGACTTGGCGGTCATCAAATTCTGCCCGGCAAGAAAGTTGTAATAATCCGCAGCATTGGCGGGAAAAGTGAGCCCAGGATCCATCAGACCATTGGGATTGACGTGGCCCGCTCCCATATCCCACGGCGTCGCCTTGTTTCCAGTCGAATCCGTTTCAATCGGCCCGTTGTTGTTATTAGTCACGCTCGCTGTCGTCATAACGGCGGACATAATTTGCGACGGCGTCCAGGCAGGGTATCTTTCGACGAGAAGCGCCGCAATTCCCGCTAAATGCGGAGTAGCCATGGAGGTTCCGCTAAGCATGGCGTAAGCGGGGGTAGAAGCCGATGCGAGCGACGAAGACCGTGTAGCGGCCCATAGAGAAACGCCGGGACCGATTACATCGGGTTTTAAGATGTCGTTAGTGGGGAAAGAGAGCCTGGTTGCATTAGCGGGGTTGACAAGCGGACCAGCAGACGAGAAATACGCGACTTCCGGGGCTTGATCGGTGGTTAGGTCTGTCTTGAATGAGTATGAGAAAGAAGCAGTCGGGCTGGTGGAGGGGGGAAGGGGAGGGAAGAGGGGAAGCGGGGGAATGGGTAGGTGAGGCGAGATAACTTGTGAGAATACGCGACTTCAGAGCTTGATCGGTGGTTACGTCTGCTTCGATTGAGTACGAGAAAGAAGCAGTCGGGCTGGCGGAGGGGGGAGCAAGGGGGAGAGGAGGGAAGAGAGAGAAGGAGAAGAGGGGGAATGGGTATGGGACAAGAGGAAAGTGGTGAGTCAAAAGAAGAACAAGTCGGCTCGGGGTTCCCCGTCGGTGGTTAGGTCTGTCTTGAAAGTGTAGGACCAGGATGCAGTTGGGCTGGCGGGTGGGTGAGGAAGAGGTAGCGGGGAAAGAGTGACGAGGAGGAGAGGAAAAACTGGTAAGCGACGGTAGGAAACACATGAGTTCAAAGAGAATAAGAGACTTTGAGGGCTGGTCAGTGGTTAGGTCTGCCTTAAAAGCGACCCTTGAAAGGTGTATGCCAAGGAAGCAGTCAGGCTGCTGGAAAGGGGGAGGAGAGGGACAGCGGGGGAACCTTGGGAATGGGTAGGTGAGGAGAACTTGTGAGTCAAAAGAAGGAAGCAGTCGGGATGGTGAAGGAGAGAGGGAGAGAGAACAGGAGGGGAGGGGTGGCACACGTGTGCGAACAACCTTGCTATACACAGAAAGTGAGTGTGGTAACCCCTCACCTGACCATAATGCGGGTGTACATGCGCAGAACACCCGTCTCGCTTTCCTCTGCTCCCATGACAGGCAGCCGAGCCTCATAAATGGGGTACGGTCTGGCCGCTAAAGGCGCATCCACCACAATCACCGCCTTGCCGCCCTTGCTAGCAACCTCTGCTGCCTTGCTGCCTGTGCTGGTCCAGCCATACGAGCACAGCACAATTTTCCCTGCAATCTTTGTTGCGTTCAGTGCGCCTGCGAAGCAGTACTGGCCCTGCAAGGTGGGGGAGGGGAACGGGAGGAAAGGGGGGAGAAAGGGAATGGACGAGGGATGGGTTGGCGCTGGTCCATCCATACAAGCAGAGTACGCGCTGCGACCTTGGATTGACTTTTGAGAATTCTCAAAAGATCTTCCCTGCGACCTTGGTGGCGTTCAGTGAGCCTGCGAAGCAGTACTGGCGCTGCTAGGTGGTGGTGGTGGAGGGAGGGAGGGGGGGAGAGGGGAGGTAGCAGAGGGGAAGGAGTGCGGACAAGTAACATAGTCACTCATAAATGGGGTACGGTCTTACTGGCACACTCACCACGAGTATAGCCTCACAAGTCATACATCACGAGTCACGAGCCCCTGCCTGAAAGCCATCCAGAGACTTAGTTTCAGGCACATGTGCCTTTCCCCACGCCTACCTCGGTCTCAATCTTCCCTGCTGCTCCCACTGCAACCCCATCCACCAGTCCCAGTCTCTGCACTGCGCTCCCACGTTCCCCGAGCCAAAGCCATAGACTGATGCTCACTTACTGCTTCCCCACACTCACCTCGGTCTCAGTCCTCCCTGCTGCCCGCACCGCAACCCCATCCACCAGCCCCAGTCTCTGCACTGCGCTCCCACGTTCCCCGAGCCAAAGCCATAGACTGATGCTCACTTACTGCTTCCCCACACTCACCTCGGTCTCAGTCCTCCCTGCTGCCCGCACCGCAACCCCATCCACCAGCCCCAGTCTCTGCACCCCCACGTTCCCACGTTCCCACGTTCCCACGTTCCCCGAGCCAAAGCCATACACTGATGCTCACTTACTGCTTCCCCACACTCACCTCGGTCTCAGTCTTCCCTGCTGCCCGCACTGCAACCACATCCACCAGCCCCAGCCTCTGCACACCTGCAGGGCCACTGCCACACCTCATTGAACGACACGGAACGCTTGGTACTGATGCACATCCGCCCTTCCCCATGCTTACCTCAGTATCTGTCTTCCCAGCTGCCCGCACTGCAATCCCATCCACCAACCCCAGCCTCTGCACTCCCACGTTCCCCGAGCCAAACCCGTACAGCTTCACCACCCGCCCGTCGCCCAGCGTGGCTGAAGAGACGTAGCTGCGAGCGATGGTGCTGCAGGGAGGGAGAAGGGAGAAGAGGGGGAGGAAGGGGGCAGGCAGGGATTGGGTAAAATGAACACATAACCCATGGCCTTCACACGCACATGGCCTTTTCATGAACAAATTACGGCAACCCTTGGAGGGAACCTGAGCAGTCACCTTGCGCCAACAGAAAATCACCTGGAATTTCACCTGGCGCCAACAGAAAGGCACCTGGAAACCCACCTGGCACCAACAGAAAAACCACCTGTAACCCACCTGGCGCCAACAGTGAGGTAGAACGGCGAGAAGTTGGAGATGCTACGATACATGGATGAGGTGAGAGGAGGCGGACCAGAGTTCCCCGCCGCATAAACCACCACCGTGCCGGCCAGATTCGCATATAAATACGGCAGATCCGTGAAATACGTGGCACTGGGGTCTGCGCCGCCCAGAGAGAGCGAGATGACGTCAACCCCGTCAGCGACGGCTGCGTTGACTGCTGCCTCCACGTCAGCATACGTGGCAGTGGTCCCGCCTGCGTTGGCGTTGCCCCAGAAGACCTTGTAGGCTGCGAGGAAGGCTCGGGGTGCCATGCCGGTGGCGTTGCCGATGGTTGTTTTGCGGGGAGGCAGCACAATGGGCACGTTGCTGTTTCCTGCTGCCGCTCTGCGTTATTGTGTGGGAAGGAGGGGTGGGAGTGGCAGGCAAAGGCGGTTGACCAGTGGAAGGGGGTCAAAAAGACGTTGAATGTTTCAACCATAAAAGCATGGATGAGCCTAAGGAGGGTTGGGGGGGGAGGGGGGTAGGGAGTGACAAAGAAAGGAGTTGGACTTTGTGGGCTAAGAGGAAAGGCCAGAACGCCCTGTGATGGCAGTGGTGGTGCTGACATTTGCCTCTTGGTGTGGAATGTGGACAGGAGAAGCAAGAGAGCAATAAGAGTTGAAGCATTGTAGTTCAGAATGTCGGGAAAGTAAGGGAAGGAGGGAGAGACAAGAGGGTATCGAACACTCACGATGCACACCAGGTGCCGTGCCCGTCCGCATCCCGAGCCGACGCCCAATCAGCGCGCAAGTCTTCCTGCCCGAACCACGACCGGAACCCGGCGTTGAAAAATCTCGCGCCAATCACCTTTCTGTTGCACTTGAAATCAGATGTTGCCTGGCAGGTGCCTTTCCAGGTAGGTGGTGGGTTAGGATATGGAAGGTCTGGTGGAGTAACATTCGAGGAAAAAGAAGGGTGTTCCGGCCAAATACCCGTGTCGACTATTCCCACCACCACGCCTTCTCCTGCCCGCTCGCGGCCCCGGGCAGTCCAGAGAGTCCCGGGCAGGTTCAAAAAGTTTGCAGAGTCGGTGGTGAGCTTGCTGATTCGGTAGTTGGATTTGACTTCTGCAACTGCTGGGTGCCGCTTCAGCTGCTGCAGCTGCTTAGGTGTCAAACGCGCCACGAAGGCATTGCTGACGTGTTTGAATCTGGAAAGGACGAGGGAAAGCGGGCAGAAATAAAAGGGTGATGAGCTGGCAGAGGGATAAGTGTAGTGCGTCTACAGTGCCATATCAGCCTTCAGTGATTGTTACAACTCACTTGTACAGTACATTCGCGCGCGGCAGGCGCACGTCATTCGCAACTCCATCCTGCAGCCGATCGAGCCACTGCTTGAACTGTGCAACTGCTGGCGCCCCCAGGTTCATTCGCGTCGCTTGGCGATTCGTTCGGCGACGCCCCCTGCGAATCCGGCCGGCCACAGAATTGATGACGTCAGACACCGAGTCTCTGACAGCCTCTGCTGCCGTGGCGGCAATCCCGTTGATTCCGCCGGTGTATCCCGCGATTGGCGGGGCGGCGCGGAGGCGGACGATGTACACGTCAGATACGGCAGAAGGGATAACCTTGTCGACTGGCTTGTCCAGTAGCGGAATATCCGGCGGGTTTCCCGTTACATTGGAGGCCGACCCGTTTAAGGATTCTCCTGGCGTTTCAGGAGTCGGCGCAGGTTGCGATTCAGGCGCAGTTTCAGGTGGAATTTCAGGTGTGGGCGGCGGAGTGGCTGCCGAGGCGTCATTTTGCGATGGTTGCTGGGGCTCCAAGATGATCTCTGATTGGTCAGCTGCAAACGAACCGAGGCTTGGAATAAGAACTATGAAAGGCTTACACATGACTTTTCCGAAACATTGCGACAACAGCGGGGCTATTCCCTTCAATCGCGTAGCTCAAGCTGAAAAAAAAACTATTACCTTCTTGCGCGCAAACGAAGCTGCTTTTGGCGAGGATAAGCAAAGCAAGTAGACAGCCAGCGCTGGCCCGTGACTGGGAAACGGTGCGACATCGACGAATCTCCATCGCACGCAGTAATCGTTCGTAAACGTACCGTATCGGTTCCTACGGCAACGTGCGAATTAGTCCCCAGGTATGGTAGTTGCGATTATATCCAGTCATATGACGGAAGGCTGTCCTGGACTATGAATGTCCTGGACTCGGTTTAGATTAAATGACAGCTGAACGAGGCGTGAGCGAGAATCAGAGGCCTTTCGCTGAAGTAAGACTGATTTAGGGCTTCGGTGAAATCGCTTTGTGACATATGCCACCGACTGCTATCAATTAGTAGGCAATGGCCTGAAGTGCCCTTTGTCTCTTCGTTTGCGTCGCCGCCGATAACGAGTTTCGTTCCTTCCAGCAACGCGCATTCGTACTACACCCTGTTTCTCACTACACTGAACTGTGCCGAACTGGTGGAAAACCTTGTTATCTTCGATTTGTCTGATTGAACCATACCGATACTTAATCTAACCACCGTTAACCGTGCTTTTCCCATCTTGACTTCACTATAACCGAGGTCACAATGCCGAGAAAGAGGGTGTACTACTTGAGAGATGAGCCTTGCCATTGACGTGCTCCTCGTCTTAGGCTCGCCAAGAAGCACGGTTTTCCGAGGCTGCGCGAAATTCGCCAGCCTAGCTGCTACTGTAGCTGCTGCCAACTAAGCTGCTGCGCCAATCTTTACAGCAGAGGATATTCTGCGCCCCGAGCCTCCAGCCGGAAACACAGCTGCCTTGTGGTAGGAGCGTGTGCCTATCTTCCTTCTCTGGTCGCAAAAATCTGCTAGGACGATGAGTACTAGTGCGGGCGAACCGAGGCGCAGGTAATTAGTGGAAAACATGGGCATTGGGCACTTCCCCAACCCCCCATCCCCCTCCCCCCTCCCTTACCTCCCCCCCACCACCACTGCTACCCCATTACAGTGTACTGTGCTGCAGCATTCCCCAGATCTGCCTCTCCCCTCCGGCCCCCCTATGCGCACCCCTCATGAATCCTCTCTCGCTCGGCTGGCACTGCGGGGCACCTGCTGCGCTTCGGCTCCCTATGGCGACTGTGGGATGGCGAAGCGAAACGATTTGCTCTTGTAGCGAGCGAACGTCGTCCCCATGTCCTATTTGTTCTCCTTTTGTCGCCGACGTCGCACCGAGCTGGCTACCATCAACAGGATATTGAACGGTCGAGCCTCCCCTGTCTGAGAGGTTGTGATGAAAGCCACCCGCTATTGGGCTGGATCTGATTCAAGATTGGTGGCTTGTCAAACACGCACATGTATAATTCTGTGTGTATGAACGTGCTGACATAATATCAGGTTGGTATGCCTACTTGTTTCAGGTTGCACTCATAAGTTGAAAACTAAAATTTTCTGTGTGAAAGAACTATACAATACTGTCCTTGAGCTAGCAAGTTTAATCTGCCAAACATGGATACACTGATGTGTGATTTGCAGACAAAATGTATAGTTTAAATGCACCATTGGTTACTAAATTCTTCAAGTTAATCAAACTCATCATTTTATTATTTGTGTCCAAATTGTTGGGGAAAGAAAAATGATGCAATTCAGTAGTTCAATATGATAAAACTACAGTAGTATCATAGTACCTATTTCTATCTATGCATGTTACTGTAGTAGGTGTCCCTTCGCCTGAGTTACAGGGGATAGTGCGAACAGTCTCTTGACTGTTCGCGTGACACTGGATAAAACCGCTTCATAGAGTCAACTCGACACTTAGCACGCTTCATGAACAGTTACACATATGAATATGTACTTTCGTAGACTACAAAACTCATGTATCTTTTCTTTATTATCAATTCTTGTTCTCACACTTGACCAGCACAAGAAAGTCTTCCGCTGCAATACATTACAGTGACTAAACTCTAATAGATCCTAAGCCCTTTTCTCAGCCCAACAGGGTATGAGAGCAGGAGAGTTTACGATCTCCTAGTTTTTACAAATCCTCAATTACCAAAGTCTTCATTATCAGGGCGAACTTATAATCATGACGAATAGCAACAACGCTAAACCCCACTTGCAAAGTGGAGTTGGTGGCTCTCATCAGCCCACTACACCACCGCTACCTGGCTTTGGCTCCTCAGGAGTGACCTTTGCCAGCCCTGCTCCAACAGCTGCATCTACAACTCGACCAGGAGGCGTTGGAGGATCGTCCCAGTCCTTCGCGTTTAACGGTGCAACAGGAGATGGTTCCGCTGCAGGCGATGGTGCAGTAGACCTCGATCATATGATACAACAACAAGTATTTGAAGCCATATCAGTGTTCATGGCACCAGCTCAAGCACAACAAGCACCACAATCGTCATCGTCAGTGAACATGGGAACGACACCAATGAGTGTCGACGGAACATCATACGTACTTCAACAACCAGCTTCTTACCGTGCTCCGCCTAGACACCAATGAGTGTCGACGGGCCACCTACGCGTTCGTGCCTCGAGGTGCGCCTGCGCAACAACAACAACAACAACAACTTCAACAGCCACAACAACAACAGGATGGAGATGGATTTGGATTGAGAGACGCAACCAATTATCAAGCGCATATGTTAAACATCCTGAAATTTCATACTTCAAGACCCTTCGACGGAAATGACTTCTTCGCCTGGAGTTTTGAGTTTGAACTCATGATGGAAGCAGCACAGATTTGGGAGTACTTCACCGGGGAGATACAATATCCAGTCAACGGCACACCAGATGAGCAGCGTGGTTTCGCTTTTCAGTCGATGATGGCGTTTACCATTCTTCTGCGTAACATGTCACTCACTGAACAACAAGGCATCAGATCATATAGGGAATTCACAAACTCATCGGAGTTAGCATGGCAACATCTGAAGCGGCTTTATCAAGCAACAGACTGTGTAACACAGAGCAGACTCATGACGCAGTTGAACAACGTGCAGATGAAGGCAGGAGAGCATGCGGTGCAGTACATCAACAGGTGCAGAGAGCTACGTGACCAGTTTAATCGAAGTGGTGGTAACTTCCCTGAGACCATGTTTGTGACAGTTGTCATCGCCAGTCTTGGTCCTCAGTGGCGTAATACATGCTCTCTTCTTTGTACTCAAGGGAATGTTTTGGAGATGCACTATGCGCAACACGTTTTGCTGAACAGCAAGACATGGATCTGTATGACAGCAAAGGCAACAAGAAGGTGAATCCGTTCACTTTTATAACACAGAGTCAAGTGGAGCCACTGAAGCAGCAACGACAGAAACATTTTCAGCAGCAGCAGAAGCAGCGACAACAGCAGCAGCAGTTCTACGTACCT